TTAGCATAATATTACTTATTTATAAGCATAAACTTATATACTTGCATAATTAATATATATGTCTGTAATAAACGTGTCTTTTTATCATTTATACTCTAATCAGGATAAGTATCTTAAATAGATCAGCCGATCTTTTTAGCCCCTTGTGGCTGAGGGGTTGCATGGCATTTGAAGTGCGGCCAATGTCTTACCGTTTGTGATCGTAAGAGGCGATTAAATGGTTTCGGGTTACTGAAATTTATGCATCTCTTAGCTCCTGTAGGTGAGATGGTTTTTTCCCCTGGTGTTACTTTAAGTTTGTAACACTAGGGGTTAGCCAAAATCATATTTCATGTCTCGGCGCCATATAATATAAATTGTGTTGGTGCGTCGTAAAAACCTATTAAGGTCGTTGAATTCAAATCACTGCCCCCTCGTTACTGCTGGTTTGAATCCTACCAGGAACTTTGGATTCTTTCATATCAGGAAGCTATTCAGCTAACTTCCGGAATGTCGGTGGTCCTACTTGTCAGTCTCTGCCCGTTCTGGTCTTACTCCACCACTAATGCTGAAAAAATGTGACATTTGCAGTGTTATTGCCACGTAGAAGTTTACCTAAAGCATATATATTAAAATGAATAAAACTTATTTATGTGGATAGGCAAACATGAAAAAAGTGCTTTAACTGTAAATCTTCCCTTTATCACCATAAATTCAAATGATGTACTCTTAACTTTTAAGACATTTTTCATTCTTTAATATGACCTATATATCTTTGAATACTATTATGTTGATATGACATTTGATACATATAAAAATACTTGTTTTATGGTCATTTTGACACTTTCTAGTTTCAAGGTCAGCGCTTAAAGGCACTGAAAAGTGTAGTGTATGGAAAATAATATCTGGGTCAATATCAGATAACAAATATTATATCTGTATCTGCTCGATTACTTATATATTTAACTGCGTGTACTATTTAAGCTTGATCCTTGAACTTTAAAAACATTCATGTATATGTATATGTATTATGTAAATACAATTTTGAAATACTTTACAGGCCATTATTGCATTTGGCCAATATGTTTTGGTCAAACATTATCGTCAAAGGCAATACACATATAAATTATAAATTAATAAAATAATAATTAACAACATAACTAATTGTTGAAAAAAATATGTATTGATATGTCACACATGATATAGAATAGAACACAATAGAATAAACTTTATAACCAATCATGGGATTTTCCAGGTATATAATCACATAATAATGATATTGAACAAGATGTACACAACTAAAAACATAAATGTCACACGCGAGTGATATATTCTATTTTAATTGGACATTTGTCTCATGTTACATATTCGTTTGGTCAGTTTTGCAATTTTCACATTAACGAATTTATCATAAACGTATTCATGACCATCATCATCACATTATTACGGTGGCTGATTTGGAACGCTTTTGTGCGTCGTGTTGGCGTTAGCGACAACAGGACAATGCCGGACTTTCGTCTTGTCGTCCTGTCGCTAACGATGTACGCAAAACGGCGTGTTGTCGTACGGCGTGTGGTCGCGATCTCACATTGTCGATTGGTTCAAATTGAAGGATTGGCTTATAAGCCAAGCGACATCGCGACAACGCACCGCACGACAACGCGTCGCTAGCGACAACACGACAAAGGCGATAACGATATAGGTTGCGTTGTCGCTATCGAATTAAATCAGCCACCATACATTATCATTATGTAACGTATATGCCGCAGACGCATGTTACATCCAGTCGAATATAACACATGTGTTACATACTCATATATACACGGTTCAGTCGGATATATAAGAACATCAAAGTTTGACTACCCGACGTGATTGTAAACTAAGTTCTTGTTTAAGCAATGATAAAGTTACTTTCGATCAGAAAGTTCATACATCTGATACAATATTGATTGATTTGAGTGCGATATGAATATTTATATTTGTCTTAAAATAACCTAAGTATCAATTAGATGCCATTTATACGAACTTTAAATATTAATTTTATATGTGTGTCAGTTTTGTAAATACTACTCGGTAGAATGGAATCTATAGAATTTTAATTTATTTAAATAAGGACATTAAATGTCTAAATCAAAATTTTGATTTAGATGTTATCCTTCTTTTCATGACCTCCATTAGAATTTGATAACGCAGTAATCTTAATATTATAATAGTAAAAGACATATGTTGCGGCATACCATCAGTTCAAAACCCTGGCCCGTGTTCACAAAGATTTAAGGATCAGGATCAAGATCAGGATCAAATTTAAAAACTCTTATATTCTTCATTGTTTATCTCGCATAGATTAAATATCTTATATTAATTGGATAAAACTTGACTTGCAATAGCATGTGTATGAAATTTTAGAATAAATTCATCGTTATATTTGCAAAATATGGGCATTTTACAGTTGATCCAAATATTGATCTTGATCCTAAAATTAATCCTTATTTTGATCCGAATATTTTTGTATTTGTTTTATTATTTGCTGATTTTTTCCCAAAATAGTATGGTTTCTTTGCCAATCAGCATTTTTTACATTTTGAATATTTACCATTTAATAATATTTAATTCTAGCAAAACACTTGATCCTGATTCTGATCAGGGTGCCAGATGTCATTATGATGTGGTGAGGGCATTCATATCAAACATCTATGCTTATATTTATTGTGTTTGTTGCAATATTCGTCAAAAGACGACAAAAGTTTTCTTTTAATTTTATTAGATATGTACGGTGGCACAAAGGTGACATGTGTGTGTTTTTATTTATCTCGTGCGCACGAGATACTATGTCGTGGCCACGAGATAATAAAGTTGTTCTCTTTTTACGAATGATGTTTCAGAAAATAATGCAACTTTATATTTCCCTGGATAATTTACAATAAATGAATTACTTTATCCGCAACAAAGAAGAAAAGTATTCCTTTTGAATAAAGTGGACAGAAATGACGCTTTTCATATAGTGAAAAATGGCACTCAATTTTAACATACAAAAAGTGGATTTGGGTAGTATTTTCCAGACATAATCAGCCTCTTCTGGCAATAAAAAAATATGTGGTCTAGGTGTAATTAAAATGCGAAATACTACAAAAATATGTGCCCCTAGAAACGAAAGAGAGATTTATCAACACTCCTGATTTTCTGTAAAAATTTAATACATGTAATAACATAACCGTCAATGCTTTAACTTCTACTTATAACTATATACACTTAATAAATTAACCTAATTTTAGACGTTCTTGTTTATTATTAGTATTTATTAGTTCAGATGTTTTAACATAGCATTTAGGCTTCAAGGGCCGCTTTCATTCATTTTATTTGGTAATGTATCTGTATTCACATTACATATTCTTGACCAAAATGCGATATTTTTTCTCTTCAATATCTAAAGATGGCGGTGTATAATCAGTTTCTCAATATATCATATAGTTTGGGGTTGACTTTTTTTAAATAAATAAAACAAACTTAAGAAATTTAAGTTGTATACGCCAAAAATTATATCCAGATTTCCAAAACCCGATATTTTAGACCCGTATAGAATAATGGGTTTGATTGTTTTATTCTAATGTATTCTTGATCATGCATATTTAACGGAACAGGACATTCTGCACATTTCACGATGTTAATAAAAATACCACTATTACTACAGTATGCTGACATTAATTGAGTTTGCTTCACATATAAGAGATGTTTTGAAAAGTTCACCGACAAGTTCAAAAGATAGATATATAAAGAAACAAATGATAATTAGTTTTCGTGATTTCATGCTTTGTGATTAGTTGACATAACAAACTGTTTCAATTTGCCTTAATTAGCCGCATCGTTTTCTTACGTACTAATTTATTAAACCAATCGTTGTGTTTGTATAAAACTAAATGTAATACTTTAAGATTAAAGGTACGTGTTCAAAAATATGACATGTTTGTTTTTAGATAAAGATCGTAATACTTTTATAGAAGGTAAAGGTCTTGTTTTTATTATAGCGTCACTCGTACTGAAAGGGCCAGCCATTTCTGATTTATGAGACACCTTTTGCTTGCATACCATGTACCTCCCAACTCCTACCACTATGTCAGGCACCAGACGGATAGAAATCGGTAACCATTCAATTTAACTACCTTACGGCTCACGAAGCGGCCATTTCGGAACGAGTCCTACGAGAAACATTCTTTCTTCAATTAACGCTCCCCGTGGGACCTCCCGATCCGAAGGCGGACGCCTCAAGCACTAGGTTACCGGTTATAGTTTAAAATTTAAATGTTTTAATTGATGTTTTCTCATACTGTAACATTATTTATTTATTTATTTATTTATTCCAGTCTCATCTATATACAATATAATATAAAATACATGTATATAGCCATTCTATAAGAATTATAAGAGACTAAACATCTAAAACACTATAGCATACATAGTAAAACCAATATTAAGATTAAACATTACCAGTGTTAGATGTTGAATCCGAGGGAACCACCATGTTATATTTGAGCCACAAAGTGTACCTTGAAACCTATGTGGATGAGTGGTTAGAGTTTGTGACTTTGGATTCCCTATCACCAAAGTGGTCTTAAATCTTACCAGAGTTATTTCTCTAGATAGCTTCTGGAAGTATTTGTTTCATTAAAGTCTAGTCTCGATTATGATTATGAAACATTTGGGTGTAGCTCCGCCAGTAAAATCCCAAAGAAATCTCTATCTTACAATGTCGATAATAATTTAGAACCAAGAACCCAAATTAAACAAGGCAAATGAAAGAAAGACTAGACGTGTGTTAATTGCTTTTATTGGAAACTGGTCCGAATGTTTGTCGCCATGTCCTTTAACTCAACCAATGGCACCATACGGTGTTGGTAGGTAAAAGATCTTATATCTACATACACGTATATATATAACTTTTTTACCAGCCATGTTTGAGAAGATCGCTTTAAAGATGCAATAATTCGACAATCGGTAAAATGATAAGCGTTTTATCGCGTCTGTCATGCGTTACGGTAAACAAAATTTTACGTAGACGTTGACGTTAACGAAGAAGAAAAAAACGTGCTCTTCTCGTGTGTGAATTACAAATGAAACTGCATATATATTCAAGGAGGCGCGTGAACGTTTCATTAGAAGAATAACATGTTGCTGATAAAGGTATATAGTATTTTTTCTCTAAAAATTGTTAAAGTAAATCTTAAAATCTAAAATTTCAAATCAACATATGGCTGGTTTAAAGATATATATTTAGTACGATACAGTAATTTCAACAGAATTAATTGGAAATTTAAAAATTTAAACTTAATTTGATGAAATAAATAAACTTAAATTTCAAATGAAAGTTGTTTGTTTATTTGAATACTGAAATCACTGTGTTGGACGTATTATATGGAATACATTTCATTTATTTTTCTTTAATCATAGGTGGTATTTTATTGTTACCATATTTAAGCTCCTTTCAACTCTTTAACACATCGAAAAAAAAACATACTTTCCTTGCAAATATTATTGGTGTTGGAATAAAGTAAATTGAAATTAAGTAGATACACTTTAAATTTAACGTATTTGGCATGAAAAGAAATAATACTTACTATATTTTGCTATTTCATGTATTCGCTATGTTTTAGGGCATTACAGAAAAAAATAATATTAATCTAATAGATATTTTATTGTTGTTGTTGTGTTTGTTGTTGTTTTGTTTTTTGTCTTTTTTTGTTTTGTTTTTTATTGCACGCAAAACATAATAATAATAGTTTAGGTAGCATGTTAAATAATACTTTTTTTTAAATTGTTTTGCACTATTTGATGCCTTTATAAATAATGTAGGCACATTATGTCTCAGAATCAAATATTTTTAATTCTTTTATAAAGGTCAAACATGAATTTTATAATTTTTTAATATTTGTTTTGTTTTAGAGAATGATAGATGTTTGTTGCCTGAAAGAAAAAAAAGCAATAGAAGTGAAATTATTTGTCATAAACGTAGCAAAATGTAAACAAAGTAGTATTTTGACTTCCGTACAAAATACTTATTCACTTTCACTGTACTTATTGCCAAAAATAGCAGATGAAAAGAATATGGTATAGATGATTTGGCAATGAGTACTTTTTTGGATACTATGAATATAAACCAAAGTTAAAAAGCTTTTGAGAAATAAAAAATAAGAGCATTTAGAACTGAGAAGAATGTTTAAGTCAATAATCTCGCTTTCACATATTTTGCGATTTTATTTTTTTAGAGATAATGTGAAAACTTTGTTTGCAGATTTCAAGAAATCCTTTTGAAAATATTTAACTTGACAATTATTTGATATTTAAGTTATGTACATCATATATGTTATCCGTTAAGAGACATTGTGTTGTTGTGTTATTATTACGTTATTTCTTCGTTATTATTGTGAGAAACGAGTGTTATATTTACTTATGTTATTATTGTGATGTTATTATTTTGTTACTTTTAAGTTATTTCCGTGTTATTATTGTGATATATTTTTGATATATTGTTGTATCATATACTGATAAATTTGTGTTATGATATAATTGCGTTATTCTGTACTATAGTATTTTATTCCATTGTCATATGGGAATTTTTATAAGTTATAACTGTGTTAGTTATCATTGTTGTTTGTTTGTTTGTTGTTGTTGTTATTGTTTTGTATCATGATATAATTGTGTTTTTCAGATGAATAAAAAATTATTATTATTTAATTTCAGGAATTGGTGCTTACATGCACCTTATTGGCTGCTGTCCACATAAAAATAAGCAATGCACGCGTTGAACCATTGGAATACCTACCACGTGACTTGCAGGGTTATTTTGACACATGTAGAAGTTCCGGTGATTTGACTAGAAATTCAGGTGAGTTTTTATTCACATTTTTATTTAAAGACAATAATGGGTATATTATTTATTATTTTACCGTTTTTCCTCTTCATATTTTACCATTTGTGGGGGATGTCACAAAGAAAGCCGAACAGAACAGTAGAGTCAAATAAATATAAGGCATACATACATTCTGTTTCTTGTCTGCAAGCTAAAGGTAGCATTTAAGAAACTGCAATACAATTTATATAAATAAAAAGCAGATGCCCGTTCGTACACATTATAAATAACAACTTTTACAGCAGATATATAGTTTTTAATATTTAAATATTTTAACTATTTTATAAGGTTTTTTTGCAGCGGAAACAACCAACTTTACGTATATGACCACCAATCTGATAAGCATAGCCTTTCGAAACTTCATCAATTTAAAATCCGAAAGTATTTAGAATCTTTTTCCATAATGTTTTGACCATCCCTGTTAAAGTAAATTTAATAACTAGCTTTAATACATGATGTGGTTATGTGAGACACGGAAAATTAATGGACTATTCTGTAAACCATGTCTTCATACATATTACATTAATTTAAACCAATTAAATGTCTTGTCAACCATGGTGGTAAAAGCGGATGTGATTTAAAATATACTTTTATTTCCTCCTTTGAGAAAGGTTTCCGTCACATGTCTAGCATATTGGGCGTACAAACGAAATTTGTAAATAAAGTTGTTTTTTTTCGGTGAAAAGTTGTATTATTCCTATTTTAAACTCAGAATTTAATTTTGGAGAAATGTTCCCGTTTTTTGTTGTTGTTTTTTTTTTTGTTGTTGTTGTTGTTTTTTTTAACTGGAAATAACTAAACTCTGAAACAATTTTATATATTTATCTTTATTATTTTTCTTAGTAACAAAAAATGAATATTTAAGAGTAGGTCAAAATTTTATACTAGGTTCCTAATATCCTCCTTATATCCATTAACCTTTCCTTTAATTCCTCTTCAAATTTACCATCAATATCCAGCCTAAAAATGCCTTCAATTTCTGTTCTAAATTAAAGTTTTTCTGTAAATTTAGCACGCCTAGAACCTTCTTTTTGGTTCACAGTAGAATTTAATATCTCTAAACTAACAATTTATCAACTGCGTGTTGATAAATTGTTGAATATATTTTGCTGCATTAAAAGGTTTATTTAATGCCTGTGCTTGTGAACCGTTAATGGGCATTCTAGCTTTAGTTGTTAAGCTTTATTTAAAACACACGCGCGCGCACACGGACACACACACAGAGTTATCGTCCTCATATAACTTTTATTCTTTATTTCTAGCTCGCCTGGTGTTCTGGCTGTCGGTAAACCAGTTTTGTTCTAACTTTGTTAAGAGTAGACCAGATTTAAGTCCACGACAGAGTACGTATTTGGAAAATAGCCTACGAGAAGCTATTGCACCGCTCTATGAAATAGACTCTGGAAATGTAGGTCACAGGAAGAAGAGGCAGACGGGTCCCCGCACTAGGATGGAAGTTCGAACAATGAACAGAAACCAGCGTAGAAGATATTTTGCAGCTTTAAATGCCATGAAACGTAATCCGGTAAAATGTCAATTCAATCATATTATTCTGCTTTGAGAAATTTTCTTAGAGCATGTGAAATAATGATATTAGATATAATGAACTTAATTATGTACATCAATAACTTATTGTAATCTACCTTAGATACATAAATAGAAGATTGATTGTAATCTGAATAATTATATATATATAGTAATATTGTAAGAATATATTTTTTATTAAATATTTTTTTTTTAAATGCATTGGCATATAAGCATTTAATGAGAATACTTGTACTAGTCAGTGAAAATAAGTAACTTAAATCAGTTCAAACACTTTAAAATAAATTTCTTAAAATAAATATTTTTTTAAAAGAATCATTTTTGTTGCAACTGCTCTTAAAACATGAAAATTCAACAATTAAAAGACAAAAATTGTACCTATAAACTATATATTTTTCAGCTTTTGCCACCAAACGTTTTTGATTTTCTGGCAAATTACCACACAGGGCCTAATCTTAGACGTGCACATTTTGGACCAGCATTTTTATCTTGGCATAGGCTTTATTTGTGGATGTAAGTTTTGTTTTATAGTTGTCTCTTCTCAAACACTATTCTGTATTTGTAACCCCATCAGTTTGTTTTGTTTTTTCTATTTCTTTAATTTTGCCCCTCCCTTCCAAGACCCCTAAGTCTCCTTCACTTGTGCCCGTTTACTTTGTGAGCCGGTTAATCAATAAAAGAAATCGCCTGCTTTAATTTCCTTGTCGATTACTTTTATTTCCCATTATGTATTATTTATAGTGATTGTCCCGTCCGTGCATTACATTGTGCCCTGTCCCGTTTTTGTTTAGGGTCCTGCTGCGCTCCTTTGCCACAGGCTCTGTGTTGCTGGGTCGTGTGGGAATTATGTTCATTAAACACAACGCCCTTGCTTATTAATCTTGGTTTTATATTTCATACTACTTGCCCATTGCTTTGTTGCTTAGTAGTGGCTTCCAGCTTATAACAATTTCCAGCATAATCGAACTAAAAAGTCTGTTTCAACTAAGCACGTGGCAAATTCAATTTTACAGCAATAAGAAGGGTATTTCATGATAACTGAAATTTTGTTCTAGTTATCAAATGTAATTTCACATTAAATAAGATCATTTGACCCACTTCATTTTTATATTTAGTATATAATTATATTCTTTTGTCTTCTTCATATTTCTTCTTTAATACTTATAATATTGAATGGAATTTATCCTCTCTTTTTTTTCAGTTTCGAATTTTTCCTTCGACGTGAAGACAGTCAAGCTACTATTCCATACTGGGCATCGGAAATCGATAACGAAATGACTGACAATTCGGAGTCCACCATATGGCATCCCACCCTTTTTGGCAATGGAGATGGTTTTCCACGAAATGGACCATTTGTGACATGGAGAGGTTTGAATGCGACTTCTGCTTTTAATAGAGACGTTACTCACGGACCTTTATTCAATTATGAAGAAATTGCCAGGTTTTTGACTCTTGAAAGAACCGCAAATATAACAGTCCCTCTAGCCGATCCCGAAAATAACTTAGAATTTGCTCATGGACGGACTCATACTCAAACGGGTGGATTTATGGGCGGTTTAGATACTGCTGCCTTTGATCCCGTGTTTTACAGCCACCATGCTTACGTCGATAAGATTTACAACGATTTTCAGATACGTCAAATACAAAGAGGTATCAATCCTCAATTAGACTATCCTTTCGACAGCAATGATCAAAGATTTAGACCTGAACATAATCCCGATTTCAATGCAGGTTTTGCAGGTTTGGGAGGTGCTAGGACTTGGACACAGCGTCTTGGATTTTCAAACGTCTTCCGTAGATTAGTAAGGTATGCCCCAAGACCAAGCTGTGAAAACAGATGTGGGAACTCACCTTATTTGTACTGCAATCAAGCCAGTAGGCTTTGCGTCAGTTTCACTAGAGCTCAGTTTGACGCAAGAACTCGAGATAACCCTGCCGGGCGAAGGAAACGAGCTCCTGTCATAAACACATCGCCCGCTGCGTCATATATACCAGAGGATATTTGTCCAAAGCGGCCATTTATTTATGATGTAGACAATAGAATAATGGGCTTAACTACACCTCTACCCAATGTAAACTCAAATGATTGGGCTTACGTAGCATTTAATGTCATTTCAAAAAGATCACAGGACTATCGTGAATTCAACAAATACTCATTGCACAATCAAGGCTCAATTTCCCATCTTGGAAATAAAGGCGAGTTTTTAACTCCGGGCACCCAGTATAAGTACAAAAATTGTGATAAATATCAAGATGCTGTTGGGAAAATAACCGTTGTTGCTCATGGTCTAAACTATGATGGACGCTCGAAGGAGGTTGTTTTTGTTGATAATAGATTAGGCGTTTCCGAAGCAAAAGGATTCATTCCAGTGAAAAGGCCTACAGCTGCCAAACCATCGGAAGTAATAATCTCTGCTTTTGATTCATGTGGTAGAGTTTGTAAACCATTTTGTAAAACAGGTGGTACAAGTGGCGCAATGGGTAACTATTTTCATGGAGGAATCAGAGTATCTAGTGTCGCTCCAAAGCAATATGCATATTCATATGCCGATGCTCAGCTTGATATTTGGGACGTTCCTACACAATCCTCTTGTCCGAAAGTCAACTATGACCATATCCCTATATCGTTCTTTTGTGAATACACCGACTCCTGGATTTGGGGTGGTTCACCTACAATGCCCGGAGTAGGAAGTGGTATGATAGGCCAAGGGTCACATATAGGAGTTGAACGTGGCACTCACATGGGAAATCGGCAAGGATCTAAAACTGGCGCATGGCGAGATCATCAAATTGGCCTTGGACAGGTCTCCCAAATAGGCACTCACCAGGGCTCTTTGACAGATCCATGGCAAGGTTCTATTGTTGGTTCAGATCCTCATACACCAATGTGGCAAGGAACACACATAAATCCTGATCTAGGGAGGGACGCCATGCGATCGTCAAGAAGGGGCGGAAGACGTGGAGGTAGAAGACGAACCGGAAATTCTGGTCGGCGCATGCCAAGACCGTCATCTCATGAAGACATGTGTAAGTATGTTTGTATACCTTCAAACAGAACTGCCAAAAACATTTATTTTCTACGTTTGAGAACAACTGAATCGATTATTTCAAGAATTTACTTTTAAGTGAAGACTGTCTTATTTCTTCCTTTGTCAGAGTATTTTGTAATTAATGTTCTGTAAATATAAAGTCCGCAATATCCAACGATAAAACTGGTATCTTGATTATCAGATGTATCATAGAAATCTCTGTTATTACCTTCCACTTTTAGTCTGAATGATATAATGTTAATATATTCAACTCGAATTACATCCGTCAGTAAAACAAATAGACTTATATGTTTAAGCCAAAAATAAGTTCAACTTAAATGATGTGTGTGTATTCTTTTGTTCTCGTCGCGCAATTGTTTATATTTATTACTCTAGTAAGCAAAAAGATGTCGTTGACATTGTTTGGAGTTTTAATACCTTTCTGTAACACAAACTGTTGCAATATTTCAGTTTCACAATTTCCAGGAGGCCAATCTTTTTATCAATTTAGGCCAAGAGTAAGTGTATAGGTTCTCGTACAGGAAAAACTTTGTTGCATTGTGTGTGTGGCGTCTGTTCAATGTTTAAATCCCCATTATTCAGAACGATAATCATGAGTTTGAAACATGTTCATAAGTTATCATTCTGATTTGATATCGCATTTAACAGCTTTTTCTACAAACTAGAATATTGAAAAGTCAGGACTTTGTGTTTATTTTCCAATTCTAGGTAAATTCTATCTCTAATACTGTGTAAAGAAATGTCCATAGCAGTTCAGTTCAGTAAATCTAAACATTTTATTAAACAATGATGTTGTCTGTAAATCTCACGAAAGAATGTTGGTTCTTTTGTCTTGTCTCGGTCATTGTTTTTTGGGACTGCAGTTTTGTTGTAGATATGTTAGTTAGTACATGCTTAACACGTTTGATTTAGAGTAGATAAAGATAGTTTGTTTTATCCATTCTTATTGCATTTTGTCACTTGATTGATTTGCTTCAAACCACGTTAAGATTTTTAAAGCGTCTTTTAAAATTGCTATTAACATTAAATTGTCATATATACTTACAGTAAAATCATAATTTATTCAAAGGTTATTAATATTCATTAATAAGGCGGTTTAACCTTTCCACACTCGATATACGTTCAAGAATGTTTAAGGTTGTATGTCAAAGCGAACGCAACATCACATGTCAACAAAGATTTTGATCTGTTCAAATATTTTCACAGCCCGGTAATTATAAGAGCAATCACTGCCACACTGTCACCATGATGTTGTACTAAATCTTAACAACTATTTTGCATAATTCAGTTAATGGTATGCGCCTAGTTACTGGTGGTCGACTAGTTCTGGTATCCGTCTAATCCTTATCATTAACTTATGGTGTGTCGGCATTATAGAACTTGTTGGTTTATTTGTTAAAGTCATAAATATATCTTACTTCAATATAATATTATATCAATCCCAAATAATTGTGTCTTAAAACATAACCTCAAAAGCGGTTTTGAAAGACTAGTGTAAATGTCATATAACTGACACATACATTGGGTGAACAAAGGTGTTTACTTATGACTGGGATGTGCTAGATTGAAACGTTTATAAACTGGACTGAGAATAACATGATTGCGACAAAACAAGTGAAAAAGGGTTTACTTTTTTTTGGATATGAATAAAATCATTTTAGTGCTTCAGGGTTCAATACACTTTCTAGCAATATTAGATAATGGAAAGCTTTCACAACGCAGAAAAATGCACTGAATTTAAACCTTTAAAACAGTATAAAATTGTTTCAGTGTCCGACGGCTTTTAAAATCATTGTATCATTTCTTTTTATATTTTACATTAGACACACTTTTTCACTTACTGATTTTGGTAATTTTACATGGATTGGTGACTGATATGTTTTTATTTACAATATATTTGAAGGAGACGACTAATCAGGTTGACTTGTTGTTGTTTATTGAATCAAGCAACTTAAATTGTTGTATAATATAAATTTATTTTTGAACCACTCAATATGTGTGCTTTGACAAAATAGACAGTTACATGTAAGTCAAGTTCGGTTTGATACATCTAGTTTTGAGTGTACGTACCATGTTTTTTTTATTCTAGCTTTGTTTATATAACAACCACTTTTGATATGATATGTTGTCTTTTTACGAGTCGTTTTTAAACAGTTATTCAATTAATGGAAAATCAAATTATGGGTTGTATGATTAATATACAATATCTATATCTATGTGGTATATTAATAAAGTGGATCTCTAGCTCATTATTAACTGTATAAAACTATTTCTTTTATTCAAAACGTATTTGAATAATGTTGTCAATGTTTAAATTTTTATGGCTGACAATATGATTTATTTATTACAGCGCCCCGTGGCGTTCCATCATCCGGGCGTTATACGGGAAGAACTGCATGAGGAGGAAAAGCGAAGGTCATTCGGACAACCCCGTCTAGGATATTATTGTCATTGGTGCCTAAAACATTTTATGTTTAAAACAGGGATGTTTTAAATAATTAAGTGAATTTGTTATTAATTTTATTGTTATTGCTTTATTACGGCAAATAGGATATTTTTATGAATATACACGTAATTGTAGATGATCTAGTACATTATTAATAAAACATGTAGTTTCATAAATATTCTGTAACTTCATGTTAAAATATCTCATGTTTGCACTTTTATCGTCACATTATACAAACGTTGTTAAATTATAAATTTTTGTTTATTTTTCGTTTATTTTTTTTCATATAAAGATTCAAAATCTCTATGAATAAATTTAATACACAAAAATGAATCAGTAAATTTCTGTGGTACAGTTGCAACCCTTTTTTGACTTAAACATGTTTTCATTTCCGCTTTGAATGTATAAAGTGAAGGTTCTGAAAATTGAAAATAATAACATTCTACATTTGTTGTAAACAGTAAATATTGTAATATGTTATTTTAATGGCATGTTTCTTTCTTTTTTTTTTCTTTTTTTTTAAATGTTTGTTGTCCAATGCTCAATATGTGAGTGACCTAAAACTGTGGTTCTTGACCTTATATGTCTCATTTATTGTGTTTTCCTACGAAATTTATGTGCTCTTGAATTGATATTGTCTCCAATATTTTGAGGTTGCACCTAAGGGCTTCCTCTATAAGTTAAGCTGGAAGAAGACCAGGTCGGTGTGACTTGAAACAAATTAATTATACGGAGCTAGTTATCGCAAAGTTCCCAAATATTTTTGACATGAATGACAGATGATTGATCTTGTATTCGTATTTGTTTTTTTATTTTTATTTTTGTTATTTGATAGATCTACAAAATATGGTATACATTACAAAAGACAAACGCAAACTTTCCAAAATCATATTAAAACATTAGTGCATGTATTTTTGTTCATTTATCATTTTCAATTTCGAACACAATTAAAAGGTGAATGCCCTATGAGTTAATAGGTCTTTTTCAACATTAAAACAGTTACATTTGACAAAAAAAGTATTTTCGCCCTAAAAGATTGATCTCTATAAACAATGTAATTATGTAAATTTATGTTCTATTAGACCGATCTCTTTTGCTAGAAATACAACATATGTTTCACTTTAGCTCGACACGGCATGAAATAAACTTTGCAATTTTCTCATGAAATGCATGGTTTTTGTTGTTTTGTTTTTATCTTCATCATTTATTTTTATTTTAAACATTTACATATGTACTGTACTGACATCAATAAAACAGCAAATGAATTTAATGATCCCATGACGCCATACTTCATGTATTTGAAATGAGCAAAAAAATGTTTTGTGTTGTTTATTTGAGCATGTAAATATATATTTTTGTTCTATTATTTAGAAATAAATACAAATTTTTATTTGAATAAAATACTGAAAATTGAAGACATATGTACTGCTTTATGTACCTTCAATGTACTTTTGTCTTGTAATAAAAATGTGTAATTTGCCCATCCATCAAAGAAACAAATCCGTGAGAAATTAACTAGATAAACATGTATGTAAAAGACGTAAAACACAATTAGTTTTATATCATCATCAACTTAAATAATGCTGAATGTGTTAAATGAACCTGTCCTGCGTTAATTTAAATACTTCATTTTGTTTGTGAATGTGGTTTTAACATTGATCCAAAGGATGTATGAGTCATGACACACCTCTGTGATTTGGCTTGTATGTTAAACCCGTTGAGGTTATGATATCTACTTGTGTATTTTTAGTAAAAATCTAACAAATGCAAGTGACAAACAGTAAAATGTCACCACGCCCCCTCTTTGGAAAGCGCGTTACCTCTTGTCGAGGCAGTGCTTCATCCACTGATAAAACGTTTTGGAGCCGCACCTGAAATATTAAATATACAACATGTACAACCAATTGAAGAAATTCTGGTCCGTCTCTACGGAGTTGCAAGCTCATTTGGCTCTGTGCTTGTGGAACAGACGCAATAATATCATTATTTGTATTGAATAATGTTAAATTTAACGTTATTGCAAGATAATTTACGTATATCTTAAATTGCCAATAGATGTGTAAAATATATAAACAAAAGTCAAATTGTGACAAATTATTTATAGTTAACTAAATGTACAAATATTAACAATCCAGTTGTACTTACAATGTTTTATGCAAATAATTTATTTTATACCTCTTCATAATAGGAATTATTAGCCCTGTCAAAGTGTGTGTTTATGATAATTAGTGGAACAAAAAAACGAACTAGATATTAACAATTTTCGCAAAAATGAAAAATTCAAAGGGTAGTATAAAAAAAGATACAAACATAGGGACGAGAGGTGTGACCCTTGTCATATTCAAGAGGAACAACTATTTAAGGTTTAAAGTAATACCGATACATTATTGATATGAATGTATATGAAATTCTATATTTAAAAGAGGATGATACAAAAATAAAAGTAGTAAATTTTTGCACATTGTTGAACATGATGTGAAAGACTATAAGGTACAAAAATATTCACACAATTGGTAATCATTGATTTTTAGAGAAGATAAGGCTTAATTTAATATTGAAAATAAACATTTTTAGACACAAATCAATGTTCAAAGAGGTGATTATTCTTAAAATATAAGTGCTAGAGTTATGAATTTGGTCATTAATGACACGGCTGATGATCAGTCACATACATTTGAAGTTGGAAGTAAAGTGCTTAATAACACATATGTGAGCAGTAAGTTTCTAAGGGTCTTTGACATATATTGTCAACCAAAAGCATATTGTTATATTGTAAGAGTTGAACTTAAAAGTTATGAAGTTTTAATATAAAATCCTTCATAATATTTTTTTCAATACAAAAGTGAAACATGGTTTTTGGACTCCCGGTATTCATTAAAAATGTTGGCCCTTTTATTCATCATTCAATGGATTTTTTTTAAAAGTTTTAAGGGACTATTTATGAAGCTTTTTTTTAGTAGAGAATCTTTTCATTGAAAAAAATTTTCGTTTATTTTTTTTGCAAAGTTATGAGGAGCCGTTTTTAATCAGTTGAATGTAATTTAAATTAAAAATTAAATTGCCGGAACAAAGTAGTAGTTGTTTTTTTTTCAAATTTCCCTCATGAAAGGGGTGAAAAAAATTTTTTAAATGACAAGGGTTTTTGGGTACGAGAAAAAATTTAAAATATTTAAATAAAAAATTATGCTCTTTGGGAAACCCACCGGGAAAAAAGGCAAAAATTTGATATCAAGTTTATCCCGAAAATTAAAGTGTAAATTTATTTTCTTTTATTTGCGTCACAACCATAGGGGGAAAAAAATTACTCCCCTTTTAAATGTTCGAGGGGTTTAAGATAAAATTTCAAAAAAACCAATAAAATTAACTTTTTACATTTTTATTAAATTATCAATTAATTGCCCTTTTTTTTGAGTCTTGTTTTTCCGTAAAATTTTATGCTAAATTTTATTTTGATGTGTTAAAAAAAATCTTCTGTTTTTTAAAGTTTTTTATTTTTTCTTGTATAAAAAAGTCGCTCCAATTAAAACAAAAAAATGGCATTTTTTTTTCCCTTATCTATTCCTGGTTTAAATATAAAATTTTTTCCGACTTGTCTTAATAATTTTTTGGTTTTTCAAATACAAATGTACGAAAGGGTTTGGGGTGAGCCTTTGCTTCGCGTTTTTTTTTAAAAAGTCAAAAAAATAAATTATTAAAAATTTTTTTTTTTTCAATTGTGAATTATCTAAATTTTAAATTACCAAAACAAAAGTGTATTAAAATATAAAAAATTTTCTGATCGAATGATAAAAATTTAGTTTTCTTATGGTTGATATGATTATAAAAAAAACTATATTTTAACGGGACCATTTTTGAATACCGTTATCTTTAATAAAGGGTTAACAAAAAAGTTAATACAAAACAAAAAAAAAAAAAACAAACAAACATAAAAAGGTTTTTTTTGGGGTTCCCCCTTTCCTACGTTAAAAATAAAATTTTGAAAAAAATTTGTTATAGGGGCGTAACCCTTTTTATTCTTATATTTATAAATCAACTTTTATAAGTAAGTTTATGTATAAAAACGAAATTATTTAAAATTTTTTGAAAAAATTATATCGTTTGGGTTTTTAATTTGTTAAAGGCATTATCAAAAAATTTGAAATTTGTTTTATTTTTCCGTAGAGTTATTGTTATATTAAAACCATTTAACAAATCTTGCCGTGTGGTGGCGGGGCTGTGTGTGTTGGTGTGCGTGTGCGTTGGGGTGGTGTGTGGTTTTTTGGTTTTTTGTAAGATTTGACCATTTATGAAGGTATCCGGAGAACCAAAAAAAAGGGGCCATATGCCCTTGGGTGCTACCCAAATGGCCTCAGGGGGGGCCGTTTAAACCAAAAGGTTTTATTTGAAAAATTGGAAAACCCCCTTTGAGAATTTTTGGGGGTTTAAAAATTTTACTATACACAAATTGAAAAAAATGCTTTTGCCCCCCCCCCCCCCCCCGCAGGCAAATTTTAACCCCAGGGTTTTTTTTGAACAAATTGGGGAGAATCCTTGAAATGTTTCATGCTAAAAATCTCATTGCCTTTGGGGTTCTTTAAAAAAAATTTTTAATTTTTTTACCCCTATGTATATAGGGAAATCAATGACCCCTGGGGACGGGGCCATTTTGACCCCAGGGCTTTTATTTGTAACAAATTTTGTAGACACCTATTAGAACATGTTTTATGCTTATATCTTAGCTCTAGCTCTTTGGGTTTTCTTTAAAAAGAATTTTTTTTAAGTTTTACTATATACATATAGGGAAAATTCAATGACCCCCTGGGGCGGGGGCCAATTTTGACCCCAGGGCTTTTTTTATTTGAACAAACTTGGTAGACATGATCAAGAAGATGTTTCATGCTTAATATCTTAAAGGTCTAGCTCTTTGGGTTCTTTAAGGAGAAGATTTTTTTAAGTTTTTACAATATTGCATATAAGGGAAAATCAATGAACCCTGGGAGCAGGGCCAATTTTTGACCCAGGGGCTTTTATTTGAAACAAAACTTGGTAGACAACCCCATAATGAACATGTTTTTAAAACACCAAATATCTAAGCTCTAGGCTCTTTTGGGTTTTTTTAAGGAGAAGAAGATTTTTTTTAAAAAAGTTTTACTATATGCATGTAGGGAAAAATCAATGACCCCCATGGGGCGGGGCCAATTTTGACCCCAGGGCTTTTATTTGAACCAAATCTTGGTAGACACGTATTAGGAAGATGTTTCATGCTTAATATCTTAGGGGTCTAGCTCTTTGGGGTTCTTTAATAAGAAGATTTTTTTTTTAAAGTTTTTACTATATTGCATATAAGGAAAATCAATGACCCCCATGGGGGCGGGGGCTCACATATTGGACCCGGGCTTTTCAGATTTTGAACAAACTTGCGCATAGACTACAACATCCATTAGAACATTGTTTAATTGCCAAAATATCTAACCTCTAGCTCTTTGGGTTTTTTTGTAGAAGAAGATTTTTTTAAGTTTTTACTTATATGCATAATATAAGGAAAATCAACTGACCCCCCCTGGGGCGGGGCCAATTTTTTGACCCCAGGGCTTTTATTTGAACAATCTTGGTAGACACTTATTAGAAGATGTTTTTCTTGCTTAATATCTTAGGTCTAGCTCTTTGGGGTCTTTAAAGAAGAAGATTTTTTTTAAGTTTTTACTATATGCATATAGGGAAATTCAATGACCCCCTGGGGCGGGGCCAATTTTGACCCCAGGGCTTTTATTTGAAACAAAACTTGGTAGAACATTCCATTAGAACATGGTTTTATGCCAAATATCTAAAGCTCTAGCTCTTTGGGTTTTTTTAGAAGAAGATTTTTTTAAAGTTTTTACTAATATGCATATAAGAAAATCAAATGACCCCCCTGGGGCGGGGCCAATTTTGACCCCAAAGGCTTTTATTTGACAACAATACTTGGTAGACACTCAATTAGAAGATGTTTCATGCTTTTAATAATCTAAGGTCTAGCTCTTTGGGTTCTTTAAAAGGACGATTTTTTAAGTTTTTTACTATATGCCTATAGGGCAAATCAATTGACCCCTGGGGCGGGGCAATTTTGACCCCAGGGCTTTTATTTGAACAAACTTGGGGTAAGACACTCACTAGAGATCGTTTTCATGCCAAATAATCTAAGCTCTAAG